GCATCTCGGAATGAAGAGGATTCCCAACTCCCTGGCTTGCCTGCCGTTGCACCGACTGCTGAAGTACCAAAGGATGGCCCCTCCAAGAAGGGCAAAGGGCGCAACAATCTTCCATTACTCGTCGATCTTCACGCTGATCGCTTGTGTATCTGGCAATCCACTTCGCTGGACGGGGTTAAGTTTCTCGCCGGCCAGGATAGCCAGGAACAGAATACCCAAAAAGCGCTGGATCCCTTGAAAGATTTCTGCGTCGATATTATCGTTCCATTGTAAGACTACTCTGAACTGTAGTTAGAATTATGTGCTAACGGCTTTAAGCTTTTCCACGAGGTTACCAGAGCAGTCTGACAGCATTAGCCGTAAGTTGGGTGGGCCAGTTATCATACAGCCTCCCCCTAAACCTAAGGCGAAAAAGCCGGAACCCATCTCGAAGTCGAAGCCAAAGCCAGGCTCATCGACAAAGCGTCCGGGGATGTCTAGGTCTTCAAAGTCTTCTGGGTCGCTTGAAAAGGTTCTTTCTCGTGAGTCTGAGAAGCATCGGCGGAGCATGTCGCGCGGTCCAAGCGGGGCAATTGCCTTAATGAGATCTGCTACCACTCCTATGCTAAAGCGGGAGGCTAGCGAGCCACTTTCTTTAAAGAACATACCCAGGCCAGATTCGGCTACAAGAGAAAAAGCCCCGCGCCCTTTCACAGCGGCACCGCCTAAGCGAAAATCAGGCGAAGAGAAAGCGAAGAAGGAGGCATTGGTTCAGGCAGAGTTACAAGATGCTATATCTACTCTGAGACGTCCTAATAGGGAAGTTGTTGGCAAGGATATGGCGGAGGCAGCAGAGAGACGCGCCAGCACTAGTCTTTCTCAGCTGAAGAGTAAGTCAAGTTGATTTGAGCTTTATATCTATTTGCTCCAGCACTAATCAGCCTATAGAAGCACGAAAGCCGACACAGATTTCTCGACCCCAGGACAGTATAGTCAAAGCTACACCTGTGGGGAAGCGATATAGAGATGTGTTTGCAACGAATGCCGCCCATCGACAAACGCCCCGTGGCTTAGGGTCCCATGAACCAAGCAGTACGCCCTTCTCGTTAATTCCTTCTTCGGGGGCCAAAAAACGCAACCACGAGTCGGCATTCGCTCTGGAGAACTCGCCGAGCATACGTTCGGAACCATTTGCGCAGATCGAGGCGACCCCAGTGAAACAGTCGAGTCTAAGGCAGAGCTTCTTGTCGGTTCCCAAGCGTAATGATGAAGACGTTCTTGCCTCGTCACCTATCATGTCTCGGAAATCGTCGACGCTATCATTCCACGATAGTGGAATTGGATTAGATGAACTCGTCGAGACGCCTGTGAAACCTCGTGCCGTGCCTATACCGTCGGATGGGGTTGTGGCCAGAACGCCTATGAAGAGGAGGATCCTCGAATCGACTGTTGCTAACAGCAGCAGTGATTCCAAGAAACCCACCGCAGAGCCAGCTAGGAAGCTCTCGATATACGAACAACTCAGGTGGGATGATGACTTCGATGAGCTTGGTTGAGTTTTATATGACACGAGTTTTTTTATTTTTTTTTTTCTGGCAGAATCTATAGAATATAGATTCTGATAAGTCGCTGCTGGATGCACATAATGACCAGGCATGAAATGATATGAGAGCATTCGAGGCGTTCACGCAATTGTACTTTTGTAATTATGGCATATTGGAACCGGGCATAGCAAAGCAGCATTGCAATCAGCATAGCATGGCGATACACTTAATAGATCATGATACTTTTCCCGCTAATATCAAAGCATCGAATGTGCAAATACAGGCTTGGAACTTTACTTAGTATATCACTTGCCATTCTTGACGAAACCTCGAATTAGAATGTTGCAGTTGTGTATGTACCTCATGATCTTTTTATATACTTAAGGCATATCATAATATCTCGTAAACTATATCCAAGAACGTAAAAACGTCACACCACGCACCCCCCTCAAAACTTGAGCTGCGCAATAATATCCGCCGAATTAATAAACGCGCACCGCTCCCTTAACTTCTGCTCCGCAACCACCGCCTTCGCGCCGGGGCCCTCAACAGGCGTAAACCCTTCCTCAGGACCTCCCGCAACGAACACAGAGAACGACTCATTCGCCGCACTCGCACCCTTCCCGAAAGCCGTTCCGAACCCTTGGAACGTGTCCGTCCCCTCTTGCCCAGGGACCCCCAAACTCGCAAACGTGCCCCAACTCCGCGCGCCCCTGCTCACGAGCGCGTAGTCCGCCGCGCTTGGGGAATAGGGATACCCGTCGGTGTCCCAATGACTGATATTCCCGAACACGTACGCGAACTCGCTCGTGTGCACGACGCCTAGGTCGGGGAGTTGGTACACGTAGGATATGATGGGGTCGAGGATCGTCTGGTTCCAGTTGTAGAGGAACACGTTGTTTCCTGCGGCGGCGAGGGCAGAGCCGTAGTGCACGGGCTCGCAGACCATGAGGACGTCCCGGAAGATGCGGGCTGTGCGCCAGAACTCAGCTGCTAGGTCGGTGGTCGCGGAAAATTCGGTTGAGGGGTATAGGGCTAGTAAAGAGTCTAGATCGGCGGAGCTGAGGGAGGGGAGGTAGGAGGAGAGGAAGGCGCGCGTGTCCGAGGTGTTGCTGATCGTGGTGTCGGTGAAGAGCGCGACGTCGTCTTGGCACCATCCCATCATGACGTCTACGTTTGCGAATTTGTGCTCGGCGATTAGCTGTGAGGGAGGCAGGGGAAGGAAGTCCCCGTCTACGGAGGGCAGCCAGATGTCGCCGATGTTGTGTCCGATGTCGTCGGAGTACGTCGCTTCCTCGGCGGCTTCCAGTTCCTCCATAGTAAGGTTGCGCAAGCACTCAACGGTTTCGGCAGAGTGGAGAGAGGTGGTGTTGCACCCTACGTAGTTTACCAGAGCTTCCATGGCGTTGATGGTGAAGTTACCCGTGATGCCGGGTTCAAGGGCTTGACTCTCGCAGATCCCGCGCTGGAAGGGGGCTGGCTTGCTGCCGCCGAAGGCCATTATTTGCATACCCACAGCAAGGCCTATTTTTCCGGTCAGAATGAGGGAATTGGTAGACTTTGAATGTGGTGAGCACTTACCACCGGATGATTGCCCGGAAATAGTAATTTTGGAGGGGTCGCCGCCAAAGTTGGCGATGTTGTCGCGAACCCACTCAATGGCGAGACGTTGGTCTCTCAGAGCGGCGTTCTCCGATCCTTCCGATTGCAAAGCGTCGGACTTTGCGAAACCCCAGACTATATGCATGATGTGTTAATGGTGGTCATGACGCACGTGGCTTGAGAGGCTTCATTATGGCTTACCCCCAAGACGATAGTTCATAGCCACATGGACAATCGGAAGTCCGTTTTCTACGGACTCTAGAACCATGCCGTCTGGCTGAGTCACAAGCTCGCTGTTCATACCGGTCCAGAACCCGCCTCCGTAGATGTAAACTAAAACGGGTAGACGGTCATTTGCGGTCACATTAACAGGCCTTATGATATTTAGGTGTAGGCAGTCTTCCGAGATCGCGGTGACATTCGTCAAGGTGAGAGGAGGAAAGCCTTCTCCCAGAGGTTGTGGGCATGATGGACCATAGGCTTGTGCATTGATCGTGCTCCCAGGTTTGGGTACGAAAGCTTGAGGAGGTTTGAACCGATTCGCGCCGCTCGTGTCTTGGCCATAGGGGATATTTAGAAAAGCTTCAACACCGTTGCGATTGATACCATTATACGTGACATTGTTTTTTGTGTCAACAGCCGACGGGTCGCTCGTTGTCGCGACTACGCCACCGCAAAGCAGCAGCGTGCCAAAAAGGGAAGGTGGGCGCATGATGTGTCGTCAACCACCAAAACTAGACCTTAGAACGACGTTGAAGCTTTTTGAAGCCCAAACAAAAGGATTCCCCCTTCAGAGATCTCCCCTTGGCATTCCCCAAGAACGTGAAGGTCCCAACAGGAGGGTATTTATCCAAGGGAAGCAGGTTTCTAGAAGTTAGCAGTGCGTAATCGACCCCTGTAGCTCTTATCGTGGGATTCCCGAGCTCGGTCCCTAACCGGATGCGGAACGCGGGTTGTGCCACGCCTTTCAGCTCCGAAGAGGCGATTGGTAAGGAGAAATGGTAACCGAGAACGAAAGGGCGGGAATCAGGGCCGGACCAGCTTTCAGCTAGACTTGATGCGCGTTGGATTTCCGTCCCCTGTATAACTCCAAGTCTCTAGTCGGCGCCTTGACAAGTGCGTATGTAAGCATTAGACATGTCTCTATCGTATAAGGACCATGCGGTATTAACCGTTAGTTGAAAGATGGAATATCAATTAGGTCTTATATTCCTTCGGAAAGTCTGAGCCGTACGTGCGAAATGACCATCGTAAGGTCAACAAATATCCCTAAGCAAGGGACGGGACTTTATCAACAAGCTTTAGCGGGGACCCCTGGAAAAAAGGGATGATCAAATCATGACATCCATGGCTTCCGGGTTTATGAGCCCCGTACTATGCAAGACGGCTGGTTGCATTTTACAATCTGCAGTTGGGAATTCACAAAGCCGCCCAGTAATATTGTATCAAAGATTCTGTTACACAACATCCTGCGGTTGAGCAGTCTAATGTCTCCTTATAATCAATTGATTTGTATAAATTTCAAGTAATGAGTATGAAACGAAATTCAGGTAAAGAATCATAAGGCATAGTAAAGATAGTGCGTACGTTTGATGTTTATGAAGAGACAATTAATATGAAATAATGAATGATCGTCATAGCCTTTGAAAGAAGTAACATCAATGTGATAGTTTGGTTCCAAGATCAACCTTCTTGGCAAACTAAAGAGCCGCACCTGCCCGGAAGGTGCATTTGTGATGAATAAGCAGTGGATGGCATTGGGCGCAATATTCTCGGTTAACTGGGGCTATAGTCGGATCACGTGACATCCACCCACACGTTTATGATATAGACTTTCTTACCAAGCTTAATCCTCATGAGTCAACTGAATAATCAGCGGGGATAGCTCAGCTGGGAGAGCGTCAGACTGAAGTCAACTTCTGTTTCTCAAATCTGAAGGTCATGTGTTCGATCCACATTCACCGCAGCTGATTTCCTTTTTCTCTTTTCCCTATAGGGTTCTTTTTTGTATTCGCTATGATTTCTTCAATGAAGAATGCCAGCTGAATATTTTTTTAAAAGTTGCTCTTCTTGAATTCGGCCGTCGCACCCCACTCAGCCTTTACTTTTAGGCAGGCACCAGCCTATTTCCTCTCATCTTAAGTCTATTGATGCTGGCAACCGCGAAGCCAGATATTTCATAATACAAAGTGGAAGTCAAAACGTTGAATCGAAAATCTGTCTACAATTCACCACATACACATCTTTTCTATAGTGACATTGCTTCTAATTGTTAGCTTCAATGTCTTTCTTACAAAGTTACAAGGTCCTTTACTCTTGTTGATATGAATTTATCCAAGTTGACGAATAACTATCGTCATTTTCAATTTCCAGTTGCGCAGTTGCCAGATGCTGATGCGTATTACATAATACGTTAACCCATATAAAGTGCCGATCCCCCTCCATCTTTTTCTTCCTTAATATCAACTTTTTGTATTGGATCACGTTCTCAAGCTACCAGTAGTTTGTACCGTGCTAAGCAGATGCGGAGTAAATATTCCAGTACCGGAGACTTTCATTTGTCTGCCAGTTGACCAGGCGCTTTCTAGGCCTGCAGATCCGTAATGCCGTGGAAAGCTTCGCGTCTCGGTGAGGTTACTCTTCACGTGCTCGAGTTCGCATCGCCACAAGGGTGTCCATGACGGACGGCGCATGTTGGGATGCCTCTCGGATCAAGTTGACCAATGAGTTTGTCGGAAGTAGGAAGAAGACCTCAAAAGTGCTCTCTACCCTCCTCAAACTGCCTAGGACTCCTAGAATATTATCCGCCCAAACAAATCGCTGACAGGGCCATGGGTCCGTTTAAAAAAGCATGTAAACGCATCTAAATGCGCTTCAAAACCCAAGAACCGGCTAGGATCAGGAAGGTTGCGAGCACTTCAGGAGCCGAGACTCAGATGTTGCACATGGGATGGTCTAGGATGGACCAGGATGGGGTCGAGATAAGTCTGGGATGGGCTGGGATGGTCTGCACAGCCAATCCACCACAGCACGTTGTCGAATCCGGGCCTCTGATTGGCTGCCCCTTGACTTCAGCCAATGTCAGAGCTCGAATTGATCGCGTGCCTCGACTCGACACCTTTCAATGCTTCGTCGACGTCGAAACTTTTCAATATGTCGGACATACTTCTCTTCGCCTCTGACCCCTCCCAGATTCATCTTTTTATTATCAAAAACAAAGACTTTTCGCGTCTAAAGCTCGTCGCTTACATCCTTCTCTTCAACTCCTAAACCATGGGTCTGTGAATGACATTGTCTCACCTTCGCAACATTTATCCTAATTATCTCTCATCGCTATACACTTGTGTAACGGCTATTCGGTACCTAAGTAATTGTGGCTATACCCGACTTACCGCGTAAAATTTGGGTTTTTTTTCGAATTTGAACGTTGAGATCCCCTTGAGTTGCGGATACCGAGTCTCTGGTTCAACTTACCTTCGGAAAACTGTGTTTGCGACAGCCCTACGTCAATCTTTCTTGTCGTGTGACCAAGCAAAGTGACCCAACAGATCATTATTCAATATGACACGTCTAAAGATGCCGCCAACCCCGGCGTCCTCGACCGAGATCAAGGGCCAGGACCACTCGCATCAACTATCTACGCTACAAATGTCATTTGAACTGCCTCCCTCGGCGATTGGATCAAATGCCAAGAACCAAGCTCCTGCTGCTTCTAAAACATCACCAGTATCGCCATCTACAAAAACCACATATCCGGTTCAGCCGAGCGAGACAGTCAAATCTAGGAGGCGCTCATCCGCCGCGCAGAAGGAGACGTTCGCATTACCTCCTCCGCCAACACGATCCCGTAGGATCATTCAGATGAAACCTCGCCCCCAAGAAGAACCTGCCGAGCAGGCAACCCCGGATAAGACAGCCACCGCGAGCACCGGGAAGAATGCTGGCGGTGCTGGATCTAAGAAGAAGCAGCCATCCGCGACTAGCGCTGCCGGCAGGAAGATTGCGAGAAAGACAGCTCATAGTTTGATTGAGCGGAGACGGCGATCTAAGATGAACGAAGAATTCGCGGTGCTTAAGGGTTTGATACCCGCCTGCACGGGCGAGATGCACAAGCTAGCTATTCTTCAAGTACGTTCGGCGAATATTCTGTCGCGTGTGGTTTTTTGTACTAATAGTTATCCATCAGGCTTCGATCGAATATGTGCGATACCTTGAAGACTGTATCTCCAAGCTAAAGGAGCAACGCGAGGACCAATCAACAACCCCGGCCTCACCTCAATTCAGACTACCTCCATCCAATGATCAGGACACATATGACATGGAAGAAGATAAGGAAGATGAAGATGAAGAGGGCCAGGAAGATGTTGAAATGACAAATTCGGAAGCGCCCTCACCAGTTTATGCTCAGACACCGGCTCGTTCTGCCCAATCATCCATATCGCCAGCTTTAGTGGCGCAAGATGCACGAGGAAGACAGCAATCCTACTCATCAGTATCTACAGAATATCGCCACTATAGTTATAGTGGACCGTCTGCTACGTCTCCAGCTTTCGGACCTCAGGGATACCCACAGCACGTGGGACCCGCATCTGCGTCACATTCGACTATTACGAGTCCCGCCCTGCGACCTCAACAAGAGATAGATCAAGAAGCATCCGCGGCGCTCCTGATGCTCAACGTTGATCGCAGGGGGACAAATAGCAGCGGAGCGGGAAGGGGCATGAGTGTTAGGGACTTGCTCAGCTCATAAGAATTGCACTTTGGTGTCCATTATCAGAGTGCTCCGCTTTGATGCATAAGTCATGTTATCGGTTGGCATTGGGGATTCATATTAGCAAGGTTGGTGCGGCAGTTTGTGTTTGCATTTGCGTTAGCGGGGACTTGAGCTCGTGAGCTTGGGTTTATATACATGTCGGGGCAAGGAAGGATATGGCATGGGTGTGAAGAAGGCAAGAAAACTCTACGGGGTTCGCGGTATCATTGTGAAATAGGGTTGTCGTGTTTGTTCGAGGGTATCTGCGGATATATCAAGGCGTTAGATCTACTTTGTCATATATGCTCAATTGCATTGGTCCTTGATAGCTAAAAGGTGGAGAGGGATGCTGCGATATTGATGCATTCTTTGGATTGGACCCCTATTATATAGAGGGGGGCAATTAATCAGCATATGAATTCATATTCAATCTACCTGAAGTCGAAGATATTTCACTCCCTACATCATCACGTGCCATACCTGTGAAACCTACGGTCCTACGGTCCCATTACTCAAATGGTGACACCCTGATTCTGATTGAACCTGAATTATTTACTAGCTATATTCATACGGTTGGCAAGTAATAGTCTACTATTCGCCTTCTTTGTGATGCGGTACAGTTAATTACATTACCTTGTAGATAGATAAGCCTGAGAACCTCTTCCTTGATCATCCCGTGATACCCCTTATCGGCATCAACTTGACAAGAATATAGCTAAAAAAAATACAATATCGGTATTTAATGTTTCCCATAGACGCTGGATAGATGGCTAGGAGAAGAAAGAAGGAAGGGGAAAAAACCAAAAAACAATATCCTAAGAACTCGTCTCAAACCCTAGGACGTAGGTCACCCAGACATGTCCTACCCTGGCATCGTGCACCACGGTACTTCGTGCTGAGCGAGTGAGCCAAACCGTTCCAACAAGTGCTCGGAAGATTGTTGGAAGGTGTACTGCTCTTTTGATATTCAACCTTCCTACGATTGTGGGTGGGTCTTGGGTGCTTATTGATACTGTGTTCAGGACGGTCATAACTTGGCGGGCGGAACAACCACGCTCACGAGATAGAGTATCGGGTAGGCTAGGGAATTTCTGTGCATATATTCCCTCTGATTTATATATAGAGACGAAGCACTGCATTGCACGATACTCTTAGCAGAGAATAGTGGCTGACACTCAAGCAAGGTAGAAATGTGGTCGGCATGGGGTTACTGAGAAGTAGTTTTCCTGTGATGATACCCCATTGTTAGGAGGTAAAGCAAAAGTCGTCTTCATGAGAAATGTTACAATGGGAAAACAAGGGGAGAAAGCTCAGTGTCGGTTTCAGGCCCAACAGTGCATTTGACCTAAATGTGCCTAGCCATCGTCACCTCCCATACCTCAACCCCTATTCTTGGAATGGAGGTAGGTAAACAGGTACCTACCAAGGACGAAGCTCACAATCTTTCTAGCGCTTCTCAAGCCGACAACCATACACATAGCTGCCAAAATAAAAATAATAATCCCTGGGCTCCTCTGGCCTGACGTTGCCCATAGTAACGAGAAGGACTAACCTTAATCAAGAAATGGCATCGAAGGAGGAGGACATATCAACAACACGTAGTAGGTATCCCGATTTTCAATTGATATATATTTCTCAACGTACTGTGTTAAGCTAGGTCGGATAGGCGTCCCCATCAATTATCGTAACTCTAAACGAGGACTTCGTCGGTACCGTACATACTATCAAAATTTCAGGCGATGTTAATGATTATCGGACTAGAATTAAGGACAGGTATTGAAAATTCAATAAATATACTGACAGTGTCATATTCCCTGTGAAGATATTTTTCGATCAAGGATTCTCAAGAATTTTTGAGAATAGGGGTAATTATACGGCCTCTACAGATGTGAAGTCTCGGAGGCCCCCTTTCCATGGACAAGACCTTTCTTGAGATAAAATATATTATGATTTCCCCTCATAAACTGGTCCATGGTATGGCAAATGCTACGTATTTGTATAATTGAGGTTGCGCAAGAGTGCCCACGCTCTATCTTTCCTTGAGCGATAAGCGCACGAGGTATTATCCAGGCTCGAAGAACTCCAAAAACGTACGATGAGTCATTGTATGTCAGAAAATGGCCGCTTGTCTATGTGAATTGGTGGTGATTGCGCTTGCGCAAGGCTCTGCTGTCGAATGTTAGCAGGTCAAGCTACGTTCAGATAGTGTGGCG